TTTTCTTAAGATTTACTTAGTTATGCATATAGAAATGAGGTACAGGCCACAGGTGCAGGGGCAGTGAGAGGGTTCACCAGAGACAGAGCAGGGAGCAGAACAGGCAGATTGACAAAAATACACTGCTGAGGGGAGCAGCAGGAGAGACAGGAGAGGTCTGCTGTGCCATGTGGGTTGCTTCCCTGGCCGGGGACAGGGCCAGGGACAGAATTCATGATGAGGCAGCTGTGGATGGCTTCATGCTGGTTCTTTAACCCGTTGCACCACCAGGGAGGGCCCTATGTTTTATTTTCTTAACTATAGCCCAGTTTTCTCTCAAATTTCTATCTTAAAGTGGCAAAAAATTAAACCCACATCAGTCTTATTTTACAATAGCCATTGTATATTTTACTTTGAATCACTGATTCTGAAACAAAGAGTTACATAAAACTCTCAGAAACCCTGGATTATGAAACAGATTAAGAATGCATTGTTCAAATGCTGCCATCTGGTGGCCACAGATAACAGGCCCCCAAAATGAGATCCTTCATAGAAAATATACAAAAAACTCAACAGCCCTAACAAATCCACTGGTTTGTTAGCACTGACTGGTCATCTGGAACACTAAGTGGGAAAATATTATCTGGAATATTATTTTGGAAAAGTTAAATGAATAAAATATAGGAGACAAATCAGTTGGGGCTTCACAGTGATGTCCTTAAATAAGAGGACAGTGCCTTGAGAGCATATGTAAAGAAACAAGGAGAGCCCTTCAATAAAAGTTTAAGATCTGGTATAAACTGCCAAATGAGCCCTTTCAATCTCCAAATCCCAGCTACCTTGTAAAAACTGAAGACATTGAAATAGATGCTCTCAAAATAAATTTGCAAAATGAAACAGGAGTTGAATAGTAAGTGGCCTGCAATCCTAGAAATTTAAACTCTTTCCCTTTACCTCTCGCTCAGATCATTCCCTCCCTTGATGTTTAAGCAGAGAACAGCTACCTACCCACAGGGTATCTCTCAGATATGTTTGAATATCTTACTGACTTGATGAGTCATGTGATAATTGCTTACCTAATGCTCATCCACCAGCCCCTTCCTGAGTCGAAAGCATCACACCCCCACACCCCACCATAATCATCAGGGGACTCTAAAACTCAAAGCCTATTTCCTGGTGGTAGTCGTTTGCTTAAAAAAAAAGCTAACAGATTAAAATATAAATATTAAATTACTTCATTTAAGAGACTCTAATGAACTTTGAGAGTCCTTTACTCCAATTCTGACTTAAGATTTGGTATAAACTTTCTGTTCAAGAAATATTCTCTGTGCTCTCATAGAAGGCATTCACTTACTCAATTCAGCTCTTTCACAGAATATTTTATTTATTTATATATAGAAGAACTAGGGCATAGGCCAGATGTATTAGGGGTGTGTGTGGGGAAAGGGAGGATGAGACAAAGTGGGGAAGCAGAACAGGCAGACTGACTGAAATACACTGCTGAGGGGAGCAGCAGACAAGAAAGGAAAGGTCTGCTGCACCATGTGTTAGCTCCCTGGCCAGAGATTGAATATTCTTACTGTAGTGGCTGCAAGTAGCTTCACAGTGCTGAGACTAAACCCCTTGTGCCACCAGGGAGACCCCCACAAAATTTTTTTTTCCAACAGAAAAAATCCAGTCAATTTGCCATCCTCAAGAACCTATATATGGTCTGTGTATGGTCTGTTACTACTATATATGGTCTGTGTATGGTCTGTTACTACTAGTATTAAAGTATTAAACTATCTGAATTTGCTCACTCTATTTTGGTTCTGTAAGACAATGTCCTTGTACTCCTATGATACACGTGCTTAAATATTTAGACAAAGGATGATAATAGCTGCAATCTAAGAAAACGGAAAACTATAATTAACGAATATAGGCAAGGCATATGTTTAATGTATTACTGCTGCAGTTTTCTATGGGCTTATAGTTTTTACAACATAAAGATTCAAATAGAAATACAAAAAATAAAGAAATTGGCCTTCTTGACTACAGTTGAGTAACCATCCACACTGGACCCCTCACCTTTATTTTCATAAAACTGCTGCCTTGCCTGACTGATGGGCAAGATAAAAAAAATTTAGTGCGTCACTGAGGAAAATACTATGACTTGTCATCACAAATATGATTCACATGTTTTCAGTCTTTTTCATATCAGCCACCTGATACAACTATCCTGTACCTTGAGAAGACTCCACCCAGTTGTAATGCAGTAACAAATTTGGTATTACACAGGCAAAAAAAAAAAAAGCATTTTTTTTTAGTGATGTTAATAGTCCACTCTGGGGTGAAGAAGTAAGGAAACTATATACCTCACTATCTCATTCACTCTTTCTGACCCCTCCAAGTCATTATTTATATTTGTTCTTCAGAAGAGTAGTAATTATTCAAGATCACTGAATGTCCTGGCCAAGCAAAGCAATCAGTCACCTTCATCTTTCAAGCTTTCCTTCACTACTTTTCTCATGTTACACTGTCTGTGACAGTCTCTCTTTGGTTGCAGTTTTTTATTCTATATTCTCATCTTTAGTCTATATTGGTATGCTAACCTTCTACAGCATTGTTAATTAGGTAAAGAGTTAAATTGAATGCTTTGCAGTAATTATTTATTAAAAGTTCACTGGTCACTTTATCTGATGTCAATGTTCTAATTCTCAATGCACTCGCTGAGCCTTCAGGAAATCTCTGCCTTACTTTAATAGTACGGGCTGTCTTCAAACAGTCTAAACTGTTAACATAATGTACCCAAGAAATATTGCTACTCTCACTGGTCTGGGAGACATTCCTGCAGCTAATCTATTTGTGCAGATGACTGCTATCTTACCCTGGACATTCACTTTACTCACCAAGATTTGATGCCTTTTTTTTTTTTTAAGATTTATTTATGCATATAAGAACTAGGACTCAGGCCAGAGGTGTAGGGGGTGAGAGGATTCACCAGAGACAGAGTAGGGAGCGGAACAGGCAGACTGACTAAAATACACCTTTCAGAGGAGCAACGGGTGAGACAGGAGAGGTCTGCCATGCCATGTGGGTCAACTCCCTATGCTGCAGTGGCTGGGTGTAACTTCATAGTGCTGTGCTTTAACCCACTGCCCCACCTGGGGGGAGGGGGGAGGAGGCAATTTGATGCCTTTTAGATAATAAATCTGTTAGCCAGGGTTCTCCCACCCCTCAGACCCACTGAGGATTTCCAAGACTCCTACCAGAGTCTCATGGCTACAGTGGAGCCAGCAGCTTCAAGGCCTGAATTCCACCAGTAGCCAGAGGCCTTGAGGATATACACACACCAAAGGATGGAGGGAGGAGCACTGAAACAGAGAGCACCCTAGAAACAACCCAGAGATAAAATCTGTCCCCCAGTCCTCTGCAATGACCCAGACACCTGAAGCCTCTCCAAAGCAGAGGTCCTTAAATTGGGGCCCTGGATACTAAGGGAATCTATGAAAGGGCTTCATAAACTCTCTATTAATTCTGGGGAGCAATTTTCATTCTTCCCTATATTTTTTAAATCTACTCAATGAAAGAATCTTCAGATCTCTGTGAAAGTCCCCATATTGGAGTTATTGGGACAAAGAGGCATTTAGGCCAGTTCTGACAGAGACAAGCCCCAAATCTCCGACATCCAGTGGAGGTGACTGATTGCCAGGTGCTAGCTCCAGGAAATATCCTGAACCTGCAGACTGTTAGTGACCATGCCAACATCGTCTAGTCCCCGAAAAAACCATATGTATCTGGGTGTCTGAGAGACCCAGAAAAGGAAAAATAGTAATAATAAGCTTCATAGTCTAAGGTTACCTGCATTTATCACTGGTCCCAGGCCAAGCCTCTGGGCACAAAGAGGGGAAAACAAGTAGTCAATAGTTCCTGTTCCTAAGAGCCTAGGGCCAGAAGGGCTCTCACCCAACCCCAGCAGAATTAGAGCACTAGACCATATAGCCATTCATTCTGCATCATCTAAGGCACAAGATCTTCCTAGATTCTGAAGTAACTGTGTCTGCAGAGGGAAAGCCTACAACTGGCCTG